CACTGGCACCTTTCATATCTAAGTCCTTTGTTAGTTATCAGTGGTTGACTCTGAGGGGCTCGGTTTGTAAACAAGGTAGGGAAGAAGAGGGTATGAGAACAGTCCACATTTTCACTTGCCCTTCATTCATCTCTACCATATAACAAATCTTTAATCAGCTAGGGAGCAAAGGAAGTGGAGGGGATCTGAGTTGTTCTGGGGAATCTGGGGACCCTACAAACAGTCTGCAACTTCATGGTCACAGGTATCTGGCCAAGATAGGCTTATGCCAAGCTTATTTTTGATCAGAGTAATATTACCTGTAATGCTGGCCAAGGCACATCAACATCATGGCTTGGGGGAAACGGGTTTCTGGCTCATGTCAGTCCCTGCTAGGCTCAGGATGCAACGCCTCAGCCTATTTTTCTGTCTTCCCTCTTGGCCCTAGGACCCAGCTGGTAAGGCTGAAGGCTTAAAGCTTCACATTCCCTTGAGTGCTGGTGACTGATGCTTGGTTGCCATAGAAACCTTCCTGGGGTCTCCAACCTTCTCTAAGCTGGGCCATTTCTTTGTAGGACTTATAGTTCAGCTTTTGGGACTAGACTTGTATCATTAACAAAAAAAATGGTCTTCATAGTATTAATGATTTTCTGAAACCTGCATAAGTAAGAGGGTAGAAGGCAGAGATTATAGTTTAATTTTTTTCTATCTCTTTAGAAGAATCTGCTCTGTATCAGTTCTCTATATATTCATTTATTCATCCTTCTATTCATTCATCATTTATCTATTACCCATCTTTTCCCAATTCCTCATCCACATCTAATTTTATCATGTTTCTTAGTTGTTATCTCAGGAGATTACTGCTTTGAGAAGAAAATTCTTTTCCCTAAGCCATAATCCTATAACTAAATTCACACAGCTTGTAACATGGGATGGTCATTAACACACAGATTCTTTATGGTTTTAGGACATAGAAATATGAGCATACTCAAGGATTGATTCATCTAAGTGGTCAGGGAGGAGGCAGAAGTGATAGCTGAAGAGGCTTCAAATATGTCACCTTATTTCTTTCTTGTTGGAGGCATATTTTCATCAGTAATAATGTTAATAGTCACAATAGTTAACAGAAAAAAAGCCACAAAACAGTGCTTTAGGCAGGATCTGAAATCAGGCTGCCTAGATTTATATTCTGGACATTCCTTTTCTAACTTCATGATCTTAGACAAGTCATCCAACTACTTGGTACCTTGGTTTTCCCATGTGCAAAATGGGAATGATAATTGTATCTACCCCAATAAGAAACCCTCAAAAAGTAATAGCATTTTTATTATTATTGTTATCATTATTATTGTTCTTTTTTGAAACTGAGACTTTCTATATATAGCTTAGACTGGCCTCAAACTCACAATCTTCTTGACTCAGCCTCCCTAGGATTGCAGATGTGCATCACCACTGCAGTATGTATAAAGCTGTGTAGTAGCCACTTTAGTGCTTAGCATTGCCAACCTCTGCCTCTGGTCCTTTACACATATACATATTCTCATTTAATTTTTGTAACAAGAGACAATTAGTATTTTGAAAACATTTTGGGGTGAGAATGCTGAGGGGCAGGCACATGAGCACTGGAGTTAAACAGATTCTTCCTGTGCTGGAGAGATGGTTCAGAGTATAAGAGCACTGACTGCTCTTGCAGAGGATCTGGGTTCAATTTCCAGTACCTACATGGAAGCTAACAACCATCCATAACTCCAGTTCTAGGGGATCCAACGCCATCTTCTGACCTCCTTGGGCATTGCATGGTATAGGTGCAGTTACACACATGCAGGCAGTGCACTCATTCACATAAAATAAAAATAACAAAATACTTAAAAAAACAGATTATTCTGCTTACTTCTAATGAGGGATGGCAGGATTTACCTCCTCTTAGTCTGCTTCCTCACCTGCAGGAAGGAAAGGGTATCAGGCAAAGACTTTGGGAGTCCATCTCATGGGAGACTTCATGAGATGCTGGTTGTAACATCCTAGGCCTGTTTATCATTATATTTTCATCAATGCCTACTCTGTGAAACCATTTACAGCCTTTCCCAGGTTCATAGTCTCTGTGTGAGTTGGTTTTCTTGTTCTATTACATGGAAAGATTCTATGATAGCACAAGCAGAGAAATGCATCTTCTGCAGGGCACAGTCATATGGACGGAAATGTGGATGGATCCCCTGCAGTGGTACAGTGGGGCTCTGATTAGTTAGTTATTCAAATTTATGTGTACTAATCGGAGTGAAGTTTGACAGGGAGGCATTCACAAAGCATACCGGCATGTACTCCATCTGGCAAAATGACTCCTTCTATGAACCATTCTTCTTCAGAGCTCTCTAAAGAGATGTGTTTGAAGGACAGGAGCAAAAGAGGGAATGATGGGAATTTGATATTATCCAAGGGCTTATAATTCTGTTTCCTTTACACCAGGAGAGTCCTAAAAGAGCTGCAGACTTTCATTAAATGGGAAAATGAATTAACCAGGTGAAGAAGACACAGTGTATTAGACACTACGTGAAGTTGCATATAGATTAAGCTTGCTGATGCGTGAAGGTATTACAAATAAAACAGATTCAGGAACTAGAAGTTTGTGAAGGTTATACAACTTTCATGACAAGTGCAATGAGAAAGTAAAGTGTCACTGAACTTGAAAATGCACAGTGATTATTCAGGCTGTTTATAGAATTCATACAAAGCAACACTGAAAAGTGCAGACAATCCAATAGAAAAATGAATAGAAGACTGGAAAAGAACTTCACAAAAGAAGATATTCAAATAATCAGTAAGCACAAGAAAGGACTTCAGGAGTAAACAGGGAGATGATGCGTGTGTGTGTGTGATGTCATGGCACATGTGGTGATCAGAGGACACATTTGTCAAGTTGGTTCTTTCCTTCCACCTTTACATGGGCTCTGGGGAATCAAACTCAGGCTCCAGGCTTGCAAGGCAAGTATCCTTAGCCCACCGAGTCATCTTGCTGGCCCTAATATTTCATTATATGAATGCGTAATTTTTATAGAAATTTCTCAAGTTTTACATTTCAGATAGGCAGACTTTCTTGTGCATATCGTATATTGTAATCAAGACATTTAAATTATCAAAATGGTGAATTTGATGAGAAGAGAGATATCTTAAGAATGTATAGTGCTTAGAGGAATGGTAATTAAAAAGATCAGGGATGCAGGATGGGCAAGGCCTTTCCTTCTTTGGATTCGGTATAAAAATTTTACTTAGATCTGAATCTACATGACTCAGGGAACCACCGGCAATCATTTAAACAAAGTCAGAATGGAAGACATCTTCCTAAACAAATGAGCTCAACATTTACTTCTTGTTATTATGTAACAATTTAAATGTCCATACTGAACTTTTCATAAATATTTTTAGCATAATTCAAATGGAAATTTGAAAGTGAATCAACACACTAACAACTGAAGCATCCAAGGGAAATGGTGGTCTGGCAGATTACTTTTATTGGCACCAGAAAGAAGAGGTAGTTTAAAGATTAATTGATTTTGAGAATGTGTTACAGAGTAAAACTTTTCCATAGTCTGTCATGAATAATAAAAAAGGAAAGGAGGGATGAGGCCACAGGAAATGAATTGTGGCTTTGGGAGAAAGAGGAGGAATTGGAGTTAACTGTCCTGCAGGACAATCGGTCCACAATGCAGACCAATATAAGATGCTGGTCAGGGGGAGATCAGTCCTGTCCTGAGGAGTGAAGCTGGAGAGAAAGGGTCATGTGAAGTTAAGAGAACAGAGGAGCTCACACCCTGCGCTCTGGGCTCTTTGATGTAACATTATTAATCCTGGGATTCTTGAAGCTTGTGCTGCTTCCCCTGAGTTCCTGTGATGACACTGAACTGAGTTTGGAGCAGGGTGCTGAGGCTGACAAAGGATAAGTTCAAAGTGGATCATCCTTCGTAACAGCTTTCACAGAAAGAACTCGGAAAAGGGGACATTTAAGAGAAGATCCTTCTCATCTGTGGCCACAGGCCTATCTTGACGGTAGGGTCAGAATCAAATTGAACTTTGAGTGGCAGGTAAGGTGGAGGCGAGTGGGAAAGAAACATTCACAAAATTAAATGTATCTGGTAAATTACCACCTTGTTTACTAGACTTAGGTTCTAAGAGCTCTTGACTACTTTTAAGCCAACTCATGTCACAGGAGAGAAATTTTCCAGTGCCAAGCACATTTAAAGAAACCATTTTCACCAGTACACATTGTACGTATGTACTGAAATATCACGCTGTTCCCCACAAATATGTACAACTTTTACATGCTAACCAAAAATTCAAAAAATGTTTAAGGGGGTACAGTGCGAGCTACCAGATTTGATCATTATACACTGTATACATTGGATTAGCACAAGGTACTCCATACATTTGTATAATTAACATGGCAATTGAAAACAAAATATAACAGGGGAGAAAAGACTACATTTTCTTCCTGAAAGTGTTTCTAGGAAAGGGATACAGAAAATGCTGGCTGCATAATAGCACCAGGAGAGTAAAAAACCAGCTTCCTAAAAGAATGCTTCTCAAAACACACCATTTTTTTTAAGGTGTCCTTTCAAGCACAGTGTTTACAGATGTCAGATGGAAACCCATCTCTAACAGAAACAGAACCCAAACCTTTTGCCTGTAATATAATTTTTACTTTCTATGGGAAATTATTTATTCCTCAGTATTTAGTCAGAAAAGATTCTCTGGAGGATTAAACGTCTAAGTTTTCCTATGTGAAAAAGGAAGTTGTTTAGGTCCAAGGGAAGATAGCTGTTGATAATTAAAGAAATGACTGTAAACAAAAAATCAAAGAATCACTTTATTCAAGAAAAAAAAAATATCCATTTACCCAGAAGCTCCTAGGAGTGGGTTTTTTATGGGGTAATAATGGGTGGCAAGGCAGCTCCTCCCCTGTACCTCCCACTTACTAGGGCTTTATAAGTGATGACCAAATGAATGAATGCCTCTTGCTCCTAGGGTGGACACCTTCCTCCTGGACTCATTATGTTCTCCTGCAACACCAGCAGGCCTGGCCACTCTATCTTCCTTCTCACTGGCTTTCCAGGCCTGGAAGCCTCCCAGCATTGGGTTTCCATCCCCATCAACCTCATCTGTGTGGTTTCCATCCTGGGTAACAGCGTCATCCTCTACCTGATCCGCACAGATCCCACCTTACACGAACCCATGTACATCTTCTTGTCCATGTTGGCAGCCTCTGATCTGGGTCTCTGTGCCTCCACCTTCCCCACCATGGTGCGGCTCTTCTGGCTGGGTGCTCGAGAGTTGCCCTTTGATCTTTGTGCTGCACAGATGTTTTTCATCCATGCTTTTACCTATGTGGAATCTGGCGTGCTGCTGGCCATGGCCTTTGACCGCTTTATTGCCATCCGGGATCCTCTGCACTATGCTACAATCCTTCCTCACTCAGCGGTGGCCAAGGTGGGGGCTGCGGTTCTGGTAAGGGCCATCCTGCTCAACCTGCCCGGACCCATCCTCCTGCGGAGCCTGTTCTTCCCTGAGATCAGTGCGCTCTCCCACTGCTACTGCCTGCATTGTGACCTGGTGGGACTGGCTTGCTCAGACACTCGGATCAACAGCTTGTTTGGCCTGGTCTCCATCCTCCTCTCACTGGGCCTCGATTCCTCCCTCATAATGCTCTCCTATGCTTTGATCCTACGGACTGTGATGGGCATTGCATCGCCAGGGGAACGGCTCAAGTCACTTAACACTTGTGTTTCACACCTCTGCATTGTTCTCATCTTTTATTTGCCCAAGCTTGGGCTGTCTGTGTTGCACCGAGTGGAGAAGCACAGCTATCCAGCTCTGGCAGTGCTCATGGCCAACCTGCACTTCTTGGTGCCACCCTTCATGAACCCTATCGTATACTGCATCAAGTCGAAGCAGATCCGTCAGGGCCTCCTAAAGCGCTTCCAACAGAAGAGGGTTGACTCTTCCTAGAACAGAAGGACCCGATGGCACATGACTTCAGCAAGCCTCCAGGGGACTTCTGGGTGGGTGGAGTGTACAGTGAATGAGTTACTTCTGAGGTCCTTGAATGTGTTTATTAGAGTCCTTTGTGGGGTCCTTCCAGCCTCTATAATTATAGATTTCAGAGACTGAGCACATTGGTGTATTTCCTTGATTTTCTTTTTACTATTCTATTTTTTAGAAGCTGAACTAACTCCAACTCATATATGCTGACATTTACCCAGGTGGCTAATCACATTGACAGGATGTTGATGTCTCTCTGTTCTGGTTTCATTTCTGTTACTGTGATAAAATATCCTGAGAAAAAGCAACATAGGGGAGTAAAGTGTTTATTTGGTTTACAATTCCAAGATACCGTCCATTGCAGGGAAGTCAAGGCAGGAAGCTAAAGCATCACATTGTCAGTCAAGAGCAAAGGGAATACACCCAGAGATCTTTGCTTGCTTGTTTGCTTGCTATCAGCCACCCCCCTCTACTCCTATACAGCCCAGGACCTCTTGCCCAAGGAATGATGTCACCAACAGGGGACTGAATCCATTAACAATCAAGACAGTCCCCATACAGGCATATCCACAGGCCAGTTTGATCTAGGCAATACCTCAAATGAGATTCCCTTCTCCGATGATTCTAAGTTGTGTCAAGTTGACAGTTCAAACCAACCAGCACATCGTCTATACAGATATCTCTCCTTCCTAGATCATTCTTTTCCATTTTATTATTAGTCACCTTACCATTGGCTGCTTTCCCCCAAATTTCATATGAACTGTCTTCTATGCTAAGAATTATAGAGGGAGGTGAGTGATGGGGAAACACATGACAACACTGTACTCGTTAAACTTTCTGTTACACTCATTTGTAGCTTAGGGAATGGTAGTTTCATCTTTCTTTGTCATGTCTGCTTTCAGCTAGAGAGTTTGGTATTGCCGAGGTTAAGGAAGCTACTCTCTAACTTCTGGGTGGTGCTTGTTTCTCAGGTACCAATGACAAGGGTAGACTTCTGGTCATATCCACAGCAGCTGACCTGCTAGTGTATAAGCTCTGTGAGGCTGGGGATTTAGAACTGTTTTGTTCACCGATGAGTCATCAGCATCAAGAATGGTGCCTATTGTGTAGGGGATCGATGCACACTGTGGAGTCTGTGTAGGGGAGATGAAGGGCCAAGAGATTAACAGCCGAAAGAAGAGGAACAACCACAGGAAGGTAGAGAGATGGCAGCTCTGAATGTGTAAGGCCTGTGAGAAGAGCAGGTAGTTAAATTGGAATGCAATGAGGTGAGGTGAGGATGGAAATCAGAGACCTTGGGGACAGGGTCTGTGTCTCTTATATCATGTAGTCAAGAAGGAGGAGTGCAGCCTGGAGAGGAGCAAAGGACGGTGTGGAGTCTTTTACTTTACTGCTCCCAAACTTTTAGGTCTGAAGGATTCTCACTCCATCACTGTAATTTCCCTAGACCCTCTTAGCTTTAAAAATACTCATATGTTTCTTAAATAAATATGGATATTCTTGGTGAAACATGACTCAAATTTAATAGAAACCATGACAGGTCTATTAGAAAGTACTTTCACTTTATCTATGGGTGTCTAGACAAGTAGGACTTAGATGACCGTGGTGATTTCTCTGTTATTTTCATGAACTGAGACAAGAGAGCAGGGAACTTGGAGACAGGAAGGCAGGAGGGGGAGCTGTGAATCTTGTTCGAGGAAGTCCAGCTTGGAAAGGCTTCTTCCCTTGCTGTGTCATATTTACTCTGGGCCCTGCAGCATGAATTCTGAGGGACTCAGAACCCTGTATATCAGTAGGTGGAAGGTCTTTGAGAGCCCTGGGACTAAATGCCTCAAGCACTCTCCTTAGGGAGAAAAAAAAATCAAAGTTCAGAGTTCCCATTTTGACAGATTATATCTAGTAGTATCCAACCAAAAACTTTAGTAAATCCAGTTTGGCCATATTCAAAAAGGCCAGTTGAAAAGATAGCTTATGTAATGCAGTAGTATTCCTCACTAGAGTCATAAATTTTAGTCTGATCAGGCCCCTCTTTTGGCTTTACCTACCAGATCAATGATGAAAAGGTTCTGATCAGGAAACAAGTGTCTCCATGTCACTGAGGGCCCATCAATTTCTATCAGAAATCAGAGACTGACCTGACAGAATTCAGGACCAAAAGCATCCTTGGGCAATTGAAACAAAATAATAACAATACTTATAATAATAAACTTGTATCAGAGCCCTGAAGCTTGAACATTCCCATTGAAAAGATCAGGTTTGGATATGACATTCAGCCTAGGAATCCCAGGCTCTGTCATGTTTATGGGACAGAGCTCTGAGTTTGGTGATGTCTTTCAACTCTCACTCTGTCTCTGCAGCATGGCTGTTTAATGGATAGCTATTTTACGGCTGCTCTGAAGTTAAGACTGGTCGGGATCTGTTTCTATAGCGACACTTTCAGTATGCAGATATCTTACCCTGTCCCATAATCCTTATCTGAGCCTGACACAATAGAGAGTCCTGAGATAGTCTCTAAAACACTTTGCTACTAGTTCATCCTGATAGAGACAATTAGGATCTATTGGCAAACTACACATACAATATCTCCACATGAGTTCTTGTGTGTAGCTGAAGGCCATAAAACAAGAAACAGTGCCAAACAGTAGAACCCTTCCTTTGAGTTGTTGGCCAGGGTACTAAAAGAGACTTCCAAAATTACACAGGCTATTGCCACAGCCCTTCTCTCAGAACTTGAAGGTAAGATCCTGTTGCTAAAGACAGGACATACTTCAGACATAGGATTTGGAGCAGTGGAGCTGGAATTGACCTGAAAACCATTTTCCCTGAAGGTTAACTCTCATAGCTTTGGAGAACACAATGCAAGCTGCTAAGGGGGAACATCAATCAATGGTCTAACCCCAGCTTCAAGGCCTAATAACCGTATCAATGACTGGCACAGCAAACAACATTGGTGCAGTAGTGGCACTTTTATCTTGGAGGTGATCAACAACTACCTAATTGAACTTAAAGCGCACTCAGTGGGAGGAAACTCATGTGTATTGCTATAAACATAGCTAAATACACATGGCTAAACACTCTTATATCTTAGAGAAAACCCCAAGACTGTCACATCCCTAGACAAATGTAATTTTTTATTATGTGTAAAATACGGATCCTTATATTTACAGACAAATATCCCAGTCACCACTCATCAAATATGCTTCTTTTGAAACAGTTGGAGACTACAGAGTTCCACAACTGGTCACATACAGACATTGTCTGTGATTTGCCCAGGCCTAAGTGGCATATGTACAATGCAACTTCTACACCCAAGGCTCACGGAACATAGAACAAGGAGTGAAGAGGTCATTAACACATCTCTCAGTTCTCATCAATGAAGCTCCCTCATGCAACAGAGGGCCAGGAACACAAAAGGCCACAAATGGCCAAAGTGTGGAGAGTAAGAGTCTGTAGAGTGTGGGTCCTTGGACAGGACTCATATTAAACTCCACCCACCCAGGGTTCAGGGACCATTGCGGAAGAGGGGGCAGAAAGGTTATAAGAGCCAAGGAGGAGATGCACAGTCATATGGAAAAGAGTCCTACAACCTCCTGGTACCTTGTTCATATGAACTTACAGCAATGGTGTCAGCATGCACAAGACCTATGCAAACTCAAGCAGACAAAACCCCAGGCCAGAACTGTGGAAATGGGCAGCAAGCCCCAATCTTAGTCAAGGAATTATTGGCAGATGATTACTGCTGGGTGATTAAGAGCTGATCTTCTTAAAGGGAGGGACTCTAGATAAGTTGCCTAGATCCCAGTGGATGAACTTGCATGGAAGGACATCTGGGGACACTACCTTGACATTCTGTCATAGGCCTTAAAACAAATGACAGAATGTATGAATTCCAATGGGATAGGGGGCTGTGGGAGAGTGCCAATGGGGAAGGGGTATAAAGATTAAGATGTTTTATATGAAATACATAAAAATTAAATAAAAATTTACAAAAAATATAGAGGCTTTTAGATTTTAGTGTCAATAACAAATCTATGCACATGAATGTAAAGCTCCTGTTATGAAGATTCATGCTAATCATACTGCAAAGGTATATGGAAAATCTGAGTTTAAAAATCTCTTCTGTCCCTTATCACTGTGTGATGTTCAGTTAGTTACTTCACCTCTCTGAATCTCCATTTTCTTAAATGGGGGATATCTACCTCACAGAGACAAGAAGATTTAACTACACAAAGCATAAACTTCAGACCAGAGTATCATTTTATGTGTTTGCATGCTTATTTGATTAACGCCTGTTTTCTCTTTTCACTATATGTATCATGGAGACATTTTCTTGACTTGTCTTATCCTATTGCTTAATATGGTTTAGGATATTGTAAGCCTTTCATGTGTTAAATATAAAAGTAAAAGATTGAATTCCTAGAGAATAACAAATGCAATTGATTATCAACTTTTATTGAACTGAATAGATGGGAACATTTATTATAATGATTAATATTATCAAATTGTTTAAGAAAGTATTGATTTTTGGATAGAACAGTCAAATGTGAGTTGCAAATGCCCTTACTCCACAAAGCTGGGAAGATTAAACGGGACCATATATTTAGACTATCCAGGAATACATGAAAGTGTAAGGATGGTATAACTTAATATTACATGCCCTTGGGCCCCAAACATCTGATGCAGTCACTTTGTTAGGTCTCTGCTTAACAACTTCTTCACACCCTGATCATAGGTATAATATAGTTATCCTCACCAAAGCTCTATGAATCCCAAGAGACCTTTCTCAGCTTCAAATAAAGATTTGAGACCCCTCTAATTCCCTCATGTCTCACCTTTAAACACAATTAGACAATAGAACGCCAAGCTATATTTTATAAACTCAGGTCCTCTGTAAGAGCCATCCCTCCAGCCCCTGCTGTCTACCTCTCTCTATTTTTATCCCATAGTCCCAGCCAGCTTGGAACTCACTGTATA